ATTAGTATATTGATATGCTTATTTTGTTTTATCAGTCTTTATCTAGTTATCAACTCTTTATTCGTGATGGTGAGCGAAAAAGTAAGAGATAAGGTTCTGAAGCAATGCGAATTTGCTGATCCCGCCTTATACGTTAATTTAAGAACGAAGGACGGTCATGCGCTTAAGCAGCTAAATTGTTGGATGTTATTTAAAAAGGATTTTCACAAAGAAATGACTAAGAATAATAAGAATAATAACCTTTATCAGCAAATATGCGATGAATTTAACATCCCAGGCAAGGAACGTGTTCACATGGTTGGAGATCTAGCGCGAAAGTATTGGAATGAAATGGAGGTAATCCGAGTTCAATTTAAATACCTTGCCGATAAGGTAAAAGATGAAATGAAACAATATCCAATTCGTGGTACCCCTAAAAGAAAACCAATTAGACGTGACCCTGACAAAGTTTTTGTGCCTTACGAAGAGGAAGGTAAAAAAAAAAAAAAAAAAAACTCGTCCAAAGAAGGAACAAACACCAGTAGATCACAAAATGCAAGATGAAAATCATTATTTGTTTGGCGATCCTTATAGTATATGCTTTGATACGTCCTTTACGTATTAGTGAATTTGTTTCATATTAAGTGATGCCTACTCTCTTTTTGCTTGTATTTCTTATTTCTTGTTTCTTTATGTTATACAATATATATTATATAGTTAGTTTTAAATCAAATAAATCTATGTTGTATGTCTGATTTTAATACGTACAAAGCTACGTATTAATCATTTATTTAAGACTTAATCCTATTTCTTAAATTTAAGATAAAGTAAGATAACTTGAGGTCACGTGACACGAAAATTCAATATGAAGTTTATAAAATTATGCTTATGAATTTTGGTTAGACATCCTAACTTTACATATTTTTACTATAGAATGGTTTATAATCATTTCAATTGTATGCTCCATGATTTTGTAAGTTACTCGTTTAAAAAAAAAAATAAATAATAGTATACTGATTATTTAACCAAAATCCTTCCTTCATGGTATAAGTTGTGGTTTGAAACATAGCTTAATTTATAACTAAGTCATGTATAAACCAAAAGTTAAGCTAACAAGCCATAGGTAACCTTGACGTTAATTACAGTATTATGCAGTAAAGCTAATTATTAATTTAATATATAATTAATAATTAATAATTAATAATTAATAATTAATATAGTTAGAATGGCTTAAGCATTGGCAAGTTATAGTTAGCTATGGCTAAAACTGGCTTTAAGTTAGCTTCAAATTAGTTCAAGTTATACGTAAGTTTTAACTGGAGCAAAACAATTATATCTTACGTATGTCAGATGTAAAAAACAGAAAAATTCAAAATTAACACTTGTTTTCTCAAAATCGCTTATTTTCAAAAGTTTGTATAAGAACCTAGTTTTTGTGGCCTAATTAAAAGGTTTTCTTGAACAATTTACTATATAATTTACCAAATCTGGGGGTCGTCTAAAGCGGAGGCACATCATGTGATCAACAGCCAATCAAATGATAGAATTTTGATGATCGCCAGCGA